CTTCAATCTCAAACACTTCGGCGTGAGCAAAATTAGGGGAAGGCTGTACAGCAGGAAGAGTGTATATCGTCGGAGAATCAACACCCCAAGATGTATGAAAATCTCGACGCTGCTACCGAGCGAATCCCTGTGCGGCCAAATACTTCATGTGTAGCAATCTTCATCGACATCAAATGTTGATGATGGTTCCTGGAGCCTGTTCGGTGAGCGGCTGGCTTGTCACACCCACAACTTCTTGCAAAATACAGATTAGGCGACTCAACAAGCCGGAAACAATGTTAGATGCAAACTTGGTAGTGGCTGAGAATAAAGTCCGGAGGATACTCGGTGTCATCGACCGCGGCAGACGGGACTTCGCGTCACACAACACGGGAGGCGACCCATCTCAACCGATCCCACTGCTCCGAAGCCCATTGCCAGGATGGCTGACATCTCAAAGAGAGAGCAAGTGGCAGCGATGGTGATAAAAACAACGGAGAAGAAAGATTTGGTGTATCTTGGGTTTATCCCTTCATGTCCTGCTGGGGACAACCGCGGTCGACAAAGTGTGAGGGTTGAACATGTTTGGTGCCTCCACAAGCGGTTCGTCCCATGTCCCACTCTCATCAGCCTTGTGCGAATCAGGGAGGGTCGTAATGTGATCGACGCCAGGGAGTTCCCTGCCTGTCCATGCCTCAGCGCTCGAGGTTCGGCTGGGCAAAGAAAACAACGTGGCGATGTCGTCAACATCATTCATCAATCACTCGAGAGAAACGGTGGGCGTTGCGCGTTTGGTCTATTCGCAAGTTGAATGCGCCGAGGCGTCGTCTTGCGGCTGGTTGGTGGCTTGTCATTCGCGTGAATGTGACGCTGTGCCCTGCCCGCAGAACGAAATCACACCCGCACTCGCCGTCTGACTGTCAAATCGTCAAGATGGCTCGAAGCGGCAAACTGCCGAATATCGTTTCTCCGGCTTCGCGGTGCGCGTCCCCTTGATATGGATAATCATCCCGAGGCTGACTTGGGAATTGATTGCTGTTCTGGGCCCTGCGTCGGCGACGGCGACGCCGTCAAGATGTGGTATGGGTTTCCGCGCGCTTTCCGCACGCTTTCCGTGCTTGGTGAAGGAGCCTCGTTGCAATATACTGTGGTGCAATACGCTGCTAGTGCTCACTTTCACTCTCTTGTTAGACGGAATCCGCACTGGTCCTTCGCTTTCGTGTGTGGTGTTGGCTGTTTACCGCATGCCCAACCGGGCTCGTTGCTGGGCTCCGGAGGAAGAAGAAAAGCCCAGAGCGGGGCAGAAAGACGGTTGCATTGGGGGCAGCGAAGGCCCCGCTCTTGCCGGCCACCAAGACGGGTCTCGCGCCATTCCGCCCTCTAGGGCTAGACTGCACTTGGCAAGGGCGAGGGCGATCATCCAATCATTGATCGCCAGCTGCCCAAGCTCCTTCCTGACAGGGATGCCTTCCCGAAGCCTAAGCTCCCCGCCGACCGCTCCTGGACTTTCCTCCTCTTTCCTCTTGCCTTCCTCTCGAGTTAACAACTTCTTTTGGAGTGTGTAATTTTTAAATGGCACACCACTTTTGAAGAAACTAGGAAGAAAGGCCCGAAAATGCGCAGAAACGAGAGTTGAGGTCGCCACTCCGAAGCAGCCCCCAGCCCATCCCCATCATCCATCGGATCTCCAGCCACGTCTCTTGTCTCTTTAACACCAGTGGCTGTTGCACTTTGCAATGTACCAACAGCCCACGCTAGCTCGCTGATCAATTTGGCAACGAGCAGCAAGGAAATGCTGTTGGGAGTTGCCCTGCAAGGTACCGCTGCCGGGAGTTTGTCGTCCTGATTCAAAATAACCAGAATGAGAAACCGAGTCCCGCAAGCCCACAGCAGCTGCTGTGGGATCAGAGATGATCATTGTTCAGGAACCCGGGTTCGTATAATTTTTGGGTGCGACCATCCTCGGCCGTGCCGTGCTTCCCATTCGATCTCAGTGCGGGGGAACCAAAAAACTGGCTCACCTCTGCAAATTTATTGACTGGATGGTGTGGCTCAAAGAGGCTCTCCCGCTTCCGGGTTTCCGTGGAGGAGGGGCTGACCACCCAGAAGAGCCAGCCTGTTGAGCCTGTCAAGCCGTCGACTCAGCCTCCCGGGGCTTGACCGACCACTCATCATTGCACCCACGTTCCAGCCTGGTCTTCGGTCCCTGTCCAGTCATCAACCCCCGCCAAGGGTGCAACGTTGAACTCATCGGGTGCTGTGCTGGAGGCGATGGAAGGCAGCAAGATGTCGCTCGCTCCTCTCCTCGAGTCGGTCTGCTAATCCCTCGCTCTGCTTGCCACGCGGCATGCCCATTGAGGCTCTGGGGGTGACCCGGACCGGGGACAACAAGTCGCGCCGACGGCCAGATCGCCAACAACAATCCGGCATGCTCCCAAATGGCCATCTCGTTGGGATGAGCTTCGGAGGGGAGCCGTGGTGCGGCGCCGCAACTCCTGCCAGACTTGTTCGGCCCTGCGGCTGGCGGTGATAACCACCCCGCGCCATTGGCTTCCCGTCTTCCGGGCGGGGGGCAAGATGCCCAGGTACTGGGTTGCGGTGGGTGAGGTTGTGTCCCCACGAGCAAGGGTAGAGCTCCTACCCCGGCAGCTGTACCTTGCCATGATAGGAAAGGCGGGATGTGCGTTGATTCCGGACACCCTCCCCGTCGCGCGAGTTCCTGCGGATTGTGTGATTCCCCAAGGGCTGGGAGCTCTTCGAGCTATTTCTTTGTTCTCGAG